GCTCCCCCCAGGAATTTGCCCAGGATGTGGGCCGCATGTTTAAGCAATTCAATAAGCTGACAGAGGTGAGCTTGGGGAGAATGGGGTTGGGGGTAAGGCGAGGGGAGGTGGGAGGAGGGAGAGCTAGGACCCATCCCGTGCGATCTGCCCGGCTTAGGACAAGGCAGACGTGCAGTCCATCATCGGCCTGCAGCGCTTCTTTGAAACTCGCATGAACGAGGCCTTTGGTGACACCAAGTTCTCAGCTGTGCTGGTGGAGCCCCCGCCGCTGAGCCTGCCTGGTGCTAGCCTGAGTGCCCAGGAGCTATCCAGTGGTCCTGGTGATGGTCCCTGAACCTGTGGCTGCTTAGGCCAACCCGGCCTGACTCTGTTCTCTGTCCTGTCAAATCTGCACCCCCCTCCCCCTGCCCCCAGCCTCCCCCTCTGGTGGCCTGGCTCCTACTTCTTGGTGGCCCCATCCCTCAGCCCCTCACGATATGGTTTTTACTTATGTGGATTTAATAAAAACTTCACCAGTTCCTCATGCCTTTGTTGGTGGGGGCGGTGGTCCTGGGGCCTGGTCTTTGCAATTCCCTCACCATGCCCTGGTGGATGGAGTAGGTGTGGGGCAGTCCTTTTCAGCCGTTTTGGTGTCCAGGGAGTAGGAGAATGTCTCTCTCCTTGCCCTTCCAATGTGGAGTGTGCCTCAGGTGGGTGGGAGGGTTGCATGGGGCACATGCTGGAGGGTTTGGGGAGCCCCTGTAGGTGGTAGTGCTTAGGCTGCTCTGGGCAGGCAGGGTGTAGCCCCAGATACATGCTGTGTGGTGGCCAGTCTACCTAAGTGCTTCCTGGACTAGGGTGTAACCATTTCTCACAGTCAGCACCACAGAGCTGGGTGGGCTGAGGATCCCTGGCAGAAAAGCCCAGACTTCAGGGTATCTGTGAAGCCCACTGTCTTGGAGGTGTTAGGCTCTAGAGGCCATGAAGCTCCTAAACCCTGAACATCCTAGAGACACTTGACCTGTTCACTGCCACAAACTGGGAAGCAGTCCAGCCTTCCTTATCGTATACCCCAGTGCATCTGGCATTTGGGCTTTTGCCATGCATGTCAGTTGCCTTTTTACCAAACCCTGTATGTGAACTCTGTGCCAAGGGACCCCAGCCTGGCCCAAATCAGGCCAGTCACACAGGCCTAGGAATTAGTGTCCAATCTTTTATTACAGAAGAAGTACAATGAAACTGTTGGGCATCCACTGCCCACCTCCCACCCGGGGTTGGTATAGGGTGATCAGTCCCTCCGCAGGTTCTTGAGCCGCTCCTCCAGGTCTGCATCGGCATCTACTAGGGCTGAGGCTGCGGCCTCTGCTTTCTTCCCACTGGCAGCCACACTGAGTGAGCCTCCGGTGGAGGGGAGGTCTACAGAGAGTGGGGGTTAGGAGAGCTCCTGTAGAAAGGAATAATGCTGGGAGCAGGGGCGTCAGGGGTTGTGTCTGGACTGCTGGGTGGGACGGGGCCCAAAGTTTGGTGCACTCACTTGACAGCTCGTCTGTCAGGCTCAATCCCAGCTCGTCCAGGACCTGGGACACAACAGCGTCACTTGGGAAGAGAGAAGAACTTTATGAGGGCCAGGCATGTGCGAAGACCAGACGTCCGTCCCCATTCTCCCCATACCTGGTGTCCCCCCTAACCTTTCTTCTTCATCTTCCTCATCACCCATGGCATCATCAATGGCATCATTCATCATCTCCTCTTTCATGTCCATGATCTCAGCCTGCCGCTCAAATTCCATCATGATCTTCTGGATCTGAGGCAACTTCAACTGGAAGTAGGGTGTGGGGAGGGTTAGTTGGTTGTTAGTTGTGGGGGAGAAGGGGGATTAGGAGAGGCGCACCTGTCTGTTCATGGTGCCCATGGCTTTGGTGACCCCCTTCATAGCTTGCGCCATTGAGTTGTTAGACTTCAGTGTCTGGATCTTCAGGGACACAGCCTGGATGTTGGCCCGCATCAACACAAATTTACGCACGTAACGCCGAGTGCGCACCAGGTCTTTTGCCATGATACGCACAGCATCCTGAGGAGTGAACAAAGATGATGGAGTGAGCCAAGGGAAGATGCTTGTTCTCCATGCACCATTCCAGCTGATGCTCTTGGACATTTACATGTGATCCCTGCCCCCCCCCCTCCTCCCAACCTCCTCCTTACGCTTCTTGGGTCATCACTCCACAGGCCCCTTTGTACACTACCTCTCTGACAACCCAGACTCTCGAAGAAACACTGGATTCACTATACATAGGGACCCTTTTTCCTCCATATATCTAGAGTCCCTGGACTTAGAATTTCGATCCTGGCCGAAGAGTTTGTCTCTCCCTCCACCTCAACAGGCTCATACTGCAAGCACTTTATTCCAAATAGAAATCTATCCATAGCTTAACTTTTGACTAACCCAAATGTCTTCCTTGCCTTGCCTATCCTGGGAAATGGAACCTCTTCAACCCACCTCCTTCGATTCAAACTCTTGTCACCTGTCACAGGCTCTGCTCCTTACTGATTCAGGCTGTCTCTATTACTAACCTCCATGTCACAGTGAATTCCAGGCCACATCTCTCTTGCATTAAACCCTTTGACTCAGCTCCCATTGTAGCCCATGATTTCAAATGGTCTGGTCTACTTGTGTAGTCTGAACTATCACTCCCTTATGGAACATTTGCTGCCTCATCTGTTTGACATTTTGGTTGCTTAGATCTTCACAGGCTCATTCTCTTAATATCACCTAGAAGGCAGCCTTTCTGGATACCCAAAATATCCGCTCACCCTTAATTTCTCTCAAAGCACCTGTTGGTGTCCTGTCATGTTCCATTGTTAGAGTGGTACCTGATGAAACCACAGCACCTAACCGTGTGTCCCAGCCTGTGCCCAACTGAGCTCACCATCTGGCCCTGCTTGGCCATCTTCTTGATGTCTGCGATGATTTTCTTCTCCTGGGTCTCTAGCTTCTGTCGCTCACGGTCCAGCTCTCGCATGGCACGGTTCAGGGCTCGTTGATTCTGCCTCAGCAGCTCCTCTGGTGTCTTCCGGCGCCCAAATAACAAATCCATGGTAGCAGGAGCCCACCAGTGGACCTGTGACAAGTGTGAAGCCTAGGTGCAAAGTGGTGTGGAGCCCACAAAAAGGGCAAGAAGCAGAGCCAAGATCACAATGTGTATTTGGGGGGGTTAATAGGGGGAACTTGCAAAATGCGAAGGGGTAAGCAGAGAGAGGAAAGGTTAATGGAAAGCCCAAACCTAGCCTGGAACACTGAAGTAGCCCCACGAGTAAAAGTGGGGCCAGCATCCCTTACTCTCTCTCTGCCTACTTGTGATCTCTGTCAAGTAAATAAATAAAATCTTTTTTAAAAAGGGTGGGGGCGCCTGGGTGGCTCGGTGGGTTAAAACCTCTGCCTTTGGCTCAGGTCATGATCCTGGAGTCCTGGGATCAAGCCCCACATTGGGCTCTCTGCAAAGCAGGGAGCCTGCTTCTCTTCCTCTCTACCTGCCTCTCTGCCTACTGGTGATCTCTGGCAAATAAAATCTTTAAGGAAAAAACAAAAACAAAAAAAACAAACAAAAACCGGGGCCAGCAAAATCTGAAAGTCATCCGCCACCCCAGCCCTTCATCATAGTGTCCCAAAGGAGGTTCAAGGCTTCAGCCTCTCCAGACCATAGTAAGGCCCTGGAGTCTGATGGACTAAGAATGGAAATGGTTGTGTCAGGGTGCACTGGGAGCATGTTGGAACCTGAGTGGCAAGGATAGGGCAAACGTGGGGGCCCCACGGGATGGCAAGGTAGGTGGAGGGTCTGAGTGCCAAGAACAAAGTGGATATAGGGGTTCTGAAGCTGACAACATATGAATTAGCATTCGGATTGTGGGGAGGTCTGAATGGGGAGGCAACCTGGGTGCGAATAATATGTTTGTGGGGCACTGGAGCACCCGGTACACTAAGGACATGATGGATGCTGGGGAGCTCTAAGGATCTGGAAGAATCTGGGGTCCTCATGGGCCCCGGTACACCTGGAACGGGATAATGGGCGATGGGGCGCCTTGTTCATCCAGGACAGAACCTGGAGGGCGCTGGGAGGCCCGCACACCGAGAGCAAGGTGCCTCGATGATGAGGCTAGGGTCCCGTGGATGGGCGAGGCAGTCGACACCCCGGCGTCGAGGCCCTCGTATGCCGTCGCCCACGCACCCACCCGGGACCCGCGGCCCGGCAGGGGCCACTCACCGGAGCCGGGAAGGAATCCGCTTCCGCTTCCGGGTTACGCTCCTCTCTCGGCTTTCAGGCGCACCCACCAACGATAGCCCCTCGGTTCTTTCTGTCGTCGCCGCCGTTTCCGGAAGAAACGGTCTGACGTCACAAGCTCCACCGGCACCCGGATCGATGGGCGGGGATAAGATCGCGCGTGCGCAAGCAGGCCGTCGTCCAGGCGCATGCGCACCACCTTCCGTCTCTCTCGGGCCCGCCTGAGAGTGTTCCACAGGTTCTAGCTGACCCAGTCCTGGGACCCCAGTCCCGCTGCGTTGATGCATCTTCGGGCGCCTTCCGTCCGGCCACCCCAGAGGTCCCGCATCCCACCACCGAACCCACTAGAGGGCCCAGCTCATCCGACGGACACCGTTTCCCTAATGTTTCTAGATCTCAGGCACCTGGTAGCACCAGGGAGGGTTCTTGGTGGGCCCACTCGGGGCAGGAGGAGGGCAGAGCTGGAGATGGCACGGACTTTCTTCTATACTGCCTTACCAAGCACGAAGTGAGTGGTTACTGGTTCTGCCCCTCGCTGGTCACACACTGGGATTCATCCCACACAGCCTGAGGCTTGGGATGTTGTCCCCCATTACCCCCCAGGCTGTTTCAGGCACTGGGGAGCTTGCTGAGGGGTGCCCCAGTACCACTTGTAACCACACATCTCCCACCACTCTTGCTGCAAGAGCTCTGGTGGACATCACCTGCCCCTCCCACCCCCACAGAAGGAAGAGGCAGAGGCCATGCAGTAACATTCCCCTTTAATAGCCTGGTGGGACCTCCAGTGGTGGAGGGGTGGAGTGCCCCAGCCCCAGCCACCCAGTCCCCTTAGCCACCCACCCCAGAGCCCAGAGTGGGGGGCTGGACAGCACCCAGCTGGGGGCTAGACAAGCCAATTCATTTCCCATCGCTGAGCGGGTCGGGGTAGGCAGCGCCGACCTTAATCACATGGTGGTTAAAAAATAATAACTAGGAGCGGGTGGCAGGGAGGGGAGGCAAGGCCAGGGCATGGGATTCCCCCACCGGCCACCCCATGCCCCCCACCTGTGGCCCCCAATAAATATTTGCAGGGGACGCCGGGGCTGGTGGCCCTGGCAGGGGTGGGTGTGCGCCAACCCTATTTCAGGCAGCGCTCGAAGTAGGTGGAGCCGATATAGCCACCTCTCATGGAGCGCTGCACATTCTGCTCAAACAGCCGCCGGTTGTTCTGCAGGACCTCGGCGGCCTCCTTGTTCAGTGGGTCTTCGGGGTTGGGCTCCTGTGGCCGGTATGGGTGGGGGTCAACAGGCCCTAAGAGCAGAGAGGGCCAACCTTCCCCAGCCTCACCCACCCACCCTTACTCACCAAGAAGAGATACTGCAGGCCATAAATTATGGAGTTTATCGTAAGGACTGGCTTCCAGTCCTCTCTGTGGACAGAGAATCAGGGTCAGGGGCTGGTGAGTGGACTGCCAACCACAGAGCCTGCTGGGACTGAACTGGTCAGGCCCAGGGCACAGGATGGTGCAGATATGAGAGGCTAGGAGGAGAGCACACAGCAGGATAGGCCAGGGAGAAGGCTAAGGTCGAGACTTAAGGAAGAAAATGTGGAGATGAAAAGATAGAAAAACACAAAACACAAGAGGGAGGGAAGGGACAGAGACCCGTGCAGTCTAAAGTCAGGGCCCTCACCTGAGGATGTTGAGGCAGACATTGCCCTCGAGGTCAATGTTGGGATGATAGACCATCGTCTCACACTTCACCTTGGGGGGATCATGTGGGTAACCCTGGCCCACCTGGCTCCAAGAAGAGAGAGAAGATAGAGAGGCACCCTAGCAGTGCCTGGCTGGGGCAAGCCTCAGCTGTTGCCTCTATCCCTCTATCCCTGTGCACCCGGGACTCACCTTAAAACTGAACACAAACTTTCCACTCTTGTAGAAGCCCTGTGAGGAGAAAGAGAAAAAGTCTTAGGACACCATCCTGCAGGGCCTGACACATAAACCAGCTCTCCTAATTCCAGGTGTTCCCCCGCCCAGCCCCCTGGCCCATGCCTGGGAGTCCAGCTGAATGTGCCCTTACCTCATCAGGACAGATAACCAGCTTGAAGTTGAGGAGATCGTCTGGATCTGAGAAGCTGATGTCACACGTCTTGGGCAGGTTCAGCTCGTTTATGTCTGGGTTTGCAAAGCAGAGAAGCAGAACAAGGAGAGGGAGAGAGGAGAGCACTCAGAGTAGGTGCAGGTGCCGGCATAGCACCCAGGCCTCCTCTACCATCCTCAAGGCTCTGTCCCGGCTGTGCCCCACAGCCCCAATCCTCTCCCTGCTCTTTCTGCTTCCTAGTCTCCAGGCAGACTCTTCTAGGTCCATAGCACGCCTCAAACATGCATTTTCAACTGTGGCTATGCTGTATCTCCTGGTCCAGGGTAAGTTCCAACTCTTTTGAATCCATAGCCTCAAGTCTCAGCACCCAACATCTGGGTACCCAGCTCCAAATGCCCCCATCCCTGTGTGGCCGCCAAGAGCCTCCAACTACCCCAAACACCAGGATCCTCAGCCATACCTCCATTTTCTAGTGGATAATGCTGGTCCCCTCCTGTCCACCCAAACTCAAGGACCCTGCCCCGCCATCATCTCCTCACCAATCCTGTCCCCACTGATCCTCCTCTTCTCTGGTTGTCACCCTAAATTCAGGGATCCATCCGACCCTCAGACACATGAATTCCCATTCCTGTAACCCTCTAAGCAGCCTCTAAGATTCCCAGCACCTCCAGCATAATACTCTAAAAAATGCAATCCTACTCCCATCTCCAATCCCTGGCACACACTGTTCTTCCTTCCTCCACGTGTCACCCCAAACTCCAACTTGCCATGTGACCCCCCAGACCCACAAATCGCAGTGCCCGAAACTGATTACACTCCATCTCACTTTCAGAGTCCCCAAGACCCCAACATACTTCACTAAATCCTCTCCGATTCCTATCCCCAGTCCTCAGTCTCCCATCCAATCTCCTCTGCCTATCACCCATGTTCCTGTCTGACCCCCAGACTCTGTGGAGTCTCCAGCTTCCTGCACGCTCTCCACTGCCTAACTCTCCGATTCTCGGTCACTAATGGAAGGCGTCTGGCTTTCTGGGTATCCTAAGTGCCCCACATTCGGGCCCTATCTTTGACCCCCCCTCCCCCGTGACTGCATTACTCCTGATCTTCCATCACACCGACACCCACCCTAACCTCCGACCCCCGGTGATTGCATTAACCCACTCCTGACTCCTACATCACCTCACCCCAGGCGCTGACCTCCGACCCCCACTCCCATCCTCCGACCCCCTACCCTTCTGGATCCGCAGCTGCGCAGCCGACGCCTTCTTGCTGCTGCCCTTGGTGCCGCCCGCCGACTCCTCCTCCTTCTTCTGCTGCTTCAGCGAGAACAGCTTGATCATCCTGCCGCCGCCGCCGCTGCCGCCGCTGCGGGGCCCGGGACCCCGGCCACCCGGCCCCCTGCCGCCGCCCGCGCCGCCTCCGCCACTCGAACCCGCCTTCGCGGCCTCCTCCGCTGCTGCCGCCGCCCGCCCGGCCTGCCGCGCCGCTCCGCGCCCACCGCGCGGCCCGCGTCGGCTCCCGTAGTCCGGCTCCGGCCTGGCCCGGCGCCTCGGTCTCGCTCGGCGGCGGTCGGGCCGACTCGGCTGTTCTCGGGCCTACTCGGCCCCGCCCCCACCCGGCCGCTCCCTCCTCCCCCTCGCCCGCTTAGGTCCCCTGAGGCTCAGCTGCGGCCGCGCCGCCTGTCTGTTTACTCGCTACCACCGCGAGGGGGTGCGGCTCGAGGGGAAGGAGGAGGCGGCGGCCGCGGTGGCGGCTGCCGTGTACTGGAAGAGGCTCGGCTTCCGCGGCAGCAGCAGCTTCGGCGCGGAGGTTCGCAACGGCCTCGGGCGCCCCACCGCTTCGGATATTTCCGCCGCTTGCCCACTTCGGCTCTTCTCGCCCGGCCTGCGCTGTGCGCCTGCGCAGCCGCCGCCGCTGCCACCGCTGCCGCCACCGCCGCCCAGCGTTGCTCCGCGATAGGTCTTGATATTCGGACTTGTTCGGCTGGTCTCGGGTATTTCCGTTCGTGCAGGCCGTCCCGCGGTCATTTCCGGGGACGCTCGCAGGTCCACGCATGGGCGGTGCCGCCGCCATCTTTAAGTAGGGCAGATGCAGGTCTCTCGGCTCGCAGTCCGCTTGTGCAGACTGCGGCGTGGGTGGGTCCTACGAGGCCTTGCCCCAGGAGATCATAGTGGCAGGGTGATCACGGCGGGCTGGAGGCCGGGCGAGGCCATAGGCTTTGCCCAAAGAGGGCGGGGTCGGGCGCCCTCGGTGTCTCATCGCAAACGCCACGCACGCGCGGAGATTCTGGCTGAGGTAAACTAGCAAATAAAATGTGTATCGTGCTAGAGAGTGGTAAGCACTTCGGGGGTTGACACGCGTGGACACTGGCTAGGACGTGGGGCGGGGGCCCTCTCGGAGTCGGGCCCGAGTTCCCGCGGAGACGTCCTGCGACCTTCCGCCGCCGGTGCGGCCAGCCTCCGCTCCAATCACACCCCGCGCAGCGGGCCTCGGAGGGCGGGAGGAAGCGGAGCGGGCCGGCGCGGGGACTTCCGGCGGTCGCTGCGGAAGCCGTCGGGCGGGTGAGCTGCGCGGCCTGGGGCCGGTTGGGTGGGTGGGAGCTCCTGGCCGGAGCTGCGCCGCGTGCGGCCCGCGCTGCGCGTCCCCTTCGGTCTCGGAGGCGACCTGTCGTCATCGCCCAGAGCCCTGGGGAAGTAGTCTTGGCGGTCCTGTCAGGCAGGGGTGCTCCCGGGCTCCTCTCGGCTTCGCCTCAGGGGAGTCGCCCTGACGCCCGCTCACCCCCAGCGCCTCCTCAGACCCGACCTGGTGTCCGTCTCGGCCCCTATCATCACCTCCACCTTTTCGGGTCTTGGGCTGGCCCCAGCCTCCTTCCTTAGAGTTCCCGCCTTGTGGGTTTTCGGGTACCGTGGACGTCCCCGGGCTCCTCGGACTGCTCCCTCTTTACCACCATCCCAGACACCCCTTTTGTGCCTCTGGTTGTCCCGTTATCCTGGCCTCACATTCGCAGCATCCTTTCTTGGCTCGAGCGCCGAGTGCTGGCGAGGTGCCAGGACGAGGACCGGGACTCAGAAACAGCCAACAGCCTAAGTTTGGGGCTGACATTGCAATCATCCCAGCGTTCTTAGGCTCCAGACATGGCTGGTCATGGGACTCGGGTGGCCCCTCCAGACTCCCATCTTCCTCTTCCTCTATCCCTTCCTGTTCTTCTCAGCCACTCTGGTTTTCCTGCCCTTGTACGGGCCATCGCCAGGTGAGGGTTGATGACCATTCAGTTTGCAGCCAAAGTCTCAAGGGTGTTGCCTGTGGGTCAGCCTAAACCATGTGTCCATCCTCAGGCCCGTTTCTGAGGCCATCAGTTGAAGGCCCATCTGAGGATAGGGTATTGGTTCCTTGGAGAGGTGGTGCTTGCTGCACTAGTCAAAGCTAGACTCTTGTGGTCTCTGACCTCATGGCTTTCCCACCATCGGTGGGGGAAGACTTAGCCATGCAAGAAAATGCAGAGCCATGGGGCCTGGGCCAGGGAGGAGGGGATGGCTGAGCTGAGACAGGGTTTTGGGTTGGAAGTGGTGCACCTGTGTTTTCCTTGTTACTCTCATGGTATAGGTGTCGAGCGGTGAGAGTGCCGTACCCCTTGGGCCTGCATCCTCTTGGGACACAGCATAGGGCTCCGCATATCAAAGTTCCAGAGGGAAGCTGGGACTGGCACCTGGAGGAATTGGGCAGCATATGACAGGTGCAGAGTGAGGGTGCGAGTGCACCTGGTGCATCAGCATAGCCTCTGGGACCTGTCACTGAGAAGCAAGGGTCTGTTTTGGAAACGAGTGGCAGGAGTGGGCAGGGAAGGGAGGCTGAGTGCTGTGGGCCTCCAGGCTGGAGATGGAGGGCTGGGATCAGAGCAGTGCTGGGGGTTGGAGAGAATTGGACAGATTTGGGAAGCTCGGGGTTGGGGGTAATAACTGGATGGATGTGGCATGGGGAGGGTGTGCTTGGGAGCAAATTGTATGGGCTCAGGTACAGATGATCCAGGGACAGGCTGGTTGGGTGCTGTTGTAGCTTCCCCAGGTGACCAGTTGTCTTAGGGGTTCCTCTCCTGCCTTCCTCCCATGGTTCTGGCCGAGTGAGGCCAAGTGGTCATTCTGTCCAAGCCCTCAGCCCTGCTGATAGTATGGTAGCACTTGGGTTCACAACCCCCAGCCTGGCTTGCAGGGCTGACCCCAGCCAACTGCAGAAATGACCCTTCATGGGGGACTCTCCCATCACTTCATGTTTCTTTCTTAGAGGACTGGCTCAGCAGGCGAGTCTGTGGACTTATGACTTTGGGCACTGGGCCCTGGCCTGTTGTCGCCATGCCTTTCACGTGTGTTAATAATTTTTCCTGTGTGTAATTTCAGGTTCTTAAGTAGTCATACGTGTGCAGATTTCTCTTCATGTTCTTCAAACACCAAGATGATCAAAACACGAGAGTGAGCTTTCTTGTCCTCTTTTTTTCTGATTATAAAATTCACACAGGACTTGAAAAAAAAAATCCATGTTACAGGATTTATAAAGTTCGGCAATACTCAACCTCACAACACTAGCTACCTCAGTATTTGTGTGCCTTTCTTAATCTGACTCCTAGCCTCCACCTAGGGACCCAGTGACTGCTTTCTACCCCTCTGATTAGTATATCCCAGGTCATGGTCCTTAAGAGTTCTGTTTGTGGTTAAGAGGACAGAAGTATTGGCCTAGGGCCCAGGTGGCCTCCCCCCACCTCCCAACGGTGCCACATGGAAGTACCCCTCCATGGGGAGTTGTTGACTTTGCCAGATGTAGATGCCAGAGTGGCCCTGGTCCTGGCTGGGGGTAGGTCAGGGGGGCGGTGGAGAGGGGTGGAGTGGGGGAGGGAAAGAGGTAGGGAACACACCTTCTTTGGGATGACTACTAGAAGCTTCTGGCTGAGGCTGGCTTCTTTCCCAGATTTCAGGACCCCAGTCTTGTAGCAAAGTCCAGCTGTATCCCTGGAAGAAGCTTAGACACGTGAGCCTCAAAAGGTTGTTCTTAGAACCCCTCAGGCCAAGGGCAGGCTGACACTTGGCCAGAGTGGGGTTTATGTCCCAAGCCAGATCCCGATGCATGAAGATCTTTCCTTTGGCACTGCTTCTCATCCTGCTTTTGGCCCCCAGGGTACCCACTGGTTGGGGTTGGGGGGCACACTAGGTCAAGAGTCTGCACAATTTGGATGGAAGGGAAAGATAATTAGGGCAAGAAGCAATGGCATGTGAAAAGTCCAGAGGGTTCCAGAGATGCCAGCCCAGTGTGCAAGCCACTGAACCTGCACTGGCAGCATCCGCACTTTTATGTAAGCTGCTGACAGCTGTGCTTCCTGTGACTTGCTGCTGAACACATTCTTCATAGGGACCACCACCCAGTGTTGGGGAGCCCTTGGGGGTTGCACACCTGGCCAGGGTTGGCGGCAGCTGTGGCCCACAGAATGTGAATGATCACTAGGGGGATAGAGAAATGGCCTGGGGCCTCCAGTGGACTTTGATTTCTGGACAGGCTGGGGTATCCTAAGGGGAACCTAACCTCAGCATCTGCTGGTAGTTAACATGCATGAAAGAATCTAGATTTCCAGATAAAACCTTCTAGCTTTTATGCCTAAGAAATAGCTTCTTAAGGTTAAAGTTTTATAGACACATCCCTAGCTCTGGCCTTCTGGGCACCAGTTTGCTACTTGTACTGCCCTTGATGATCTTGGCTGGTAGGGGAAAACTGGGCCAGTTCTCACCTGGCAGTTGGCTTGGCCCATGGTTGTGCTGGTTGAAGCTGTCATGGCAAAGAGTACAGGAGCCACAGTACAAGGTGGCATCCATAGCCCTTGGGAGGGGCTGCTAGGAGTCTATGGCTCTCAGAGACTGCATGGTTGCGGAAGTGGTAGATGGTGGGGGTGGGGGGAAGAGGGACCTGTGCAGGTCGGGAGGCACTGAGTGTGTAGATTTCCAGACCCACGGTCCATCTACTGTTTATTGAGCTCCTACTGGGCGCCAGGTCCTGAGTGGGCCCGTCTGTACCCAGACTTGATCAGAGGCCTCACAGCAACCCTGTGAGGTTAGTGTTCGGAGCGAAGACCCTCCTCTGTAACCAAAGGCCAGAAGCGGAGACGCAGAGAAGAAGGGGTACAGTGAGTGCCGTTACTCCGCACTGTGGATGCGCTGGTGCTGGATGAGCTTAGTGCTCTGGTGGAAGCGGCGGCCGCAATCCTGGCAGGCAAAGGGCTTCTCCCGCCGGTGGGTGCGCAGGTGCTGTGTGAGCGTGGGCCGCTGGCGGAAGGCCTTGCCGCACTCCGGGCACGCGTAGGGCCGCTCGCCCGTGTGGATGCGCCGGTGCTGCGTGAGGTTGGCGTGCTGCCGGAAGCTCTGGCCGCAGTCAGGGCAAGCGAAGGGCCGCTCCCCGGTGTGGATCCGCTGGTGCTCGGTGAGCCGTGACACCTGCGTGAAGCCCAGGCCACACTCACTGCAGTGGTAGGGTTTCTCCCCGGTGTGCGTCCGCTGGTGGCGCGTGAGCTTCAGACGCTGGCTGAAGCGCTGGCCACACTCTGGGCAGGCGAAGGGCTTCTCGCCCGTGTGCACGCGCAGGTGCTGCGTGAGCGTGGGCCGCTGGCGGAAGGCCTTGCCGCACTCAGCGCAGGCGAAGGGACGCTCGCCCGTGTGGATGCGCCGGTGCTGCGTGAGGTTGGAGCGCTGGCGGAAGCTCTGGCCGCACTCGGCACAGGCAAAGGGCCGCTCTCCACTGTGGACTCGCCGGTGCTGCAGCAACACGGAGCGGCGGCCGAAACGCTCCCCACACTCCACGCAGCCAAAGGATTTGTCGCTCGTGTGCACCGCCTGGTGTTCCAGGAGCATGGCTCGCCGCGCGAAGCTCTCACGGCACTCGCTGCAAGGGAAGGGGCCTGGGGGCTCCGGGGCACCGGGAGGCGTGGGGGGCGCGGCGCCCGGGCCAGGGGGGTCGCCATGGATGCGCTGGTGCTGCCGCAGGTTGGAGCGCTGCCGGAAGCTCTGGCCGCACTCTGCGCAGTGGAAGGGCTGCTCGCCCGTGTGCACTCGCCGGTGCTCCTCCAGGCGCGCGCTGCGCACGAAGCCCTGACCACAGTCGCCGCACACAAACGGCCACTCCTCAGTGTGCGTGAGTTGATGACGCAGAAGGTGCGAGCTTCTGCTGAAGCTTCGGCCACACTCGCTGCACATGAATGGCCGCTCTCCTGTGTGTATCTTCTGGTGCCTCAGTAGGTTGCTGCGCTGGCTGAATACCTTCCCACACACGTCGCAGCGGCCACCCCGCCCCACCCCGGGGCCTGTGCTGGGGCGACCCCGTCCCTGGCCTTTGGTCCTGGGTGTAGGCCAGCGGCCAGTGGCCAGTATGGGGCCCAGGAGCTGGTGAGGACCCTCGTTCGTGGGGTTCTGCTCACCTCCGGGGCCACTGGGGAGCCCAAGTGCATGTGAGAAGCCACTTTCATGGGAGGGCGACCGGAGTTGGTCTGTGAGGCTGGCCATGCCGAGGTCCCACGGGATGTGGAGGTGGGGGCTCACAGTGCCTGGGCCAGCAGAGACACTGTCCATGTGGAGGGCAAACCCTGCATTGCACAATGGGATCCACTCAGTCATACCAAGAGAGCTGTGCCTGGACCCATTCCAGCCCATGGTAAATAGGGTGAACTAGAGGGACCTGAAACTAGCCAGTGAGGCAGAACCTAGTTATGAGGAAGATTTAGAAGATGGGGACAAGCTTCCCAGGCCTGACTTAAGTTTGCAAAAGTTGCCTTTCTGGAAGGGCTGCAGGACACATATGGGACAGGTGGCCTTGCAATAGTGATGATGGTTTCTACAAATACACTCAAGTGGGTGGGTCTGAGGGAGGCTGGAAGTGGAGCCAACACGAGAGAAATGGGGATCAGAGGGGACAGGCGGCAGCACTTTGGTCTGACGTGCCTTGCTTGAGAAAAAAAATCAATCTGACTCTGAAGAAGACTCGAAAAGTTTGGGATTAGAGGTACCAGGTAGCTCTGGCCATGGAGGTGAAGGGGCGAGGCCACCAAGCATGCTGGGGAGGCTGTTCAGAACTACTGCATGGACCAGCCCTGGACACTCTCAGCACAGAATTCTGAGCAGATAGCAGGCATTGAAGTAGCTCTGATTCCTGGATCTCTTCTCTCATTTTGGCAAAAGGCTGGGTTGAGGCTGTGAGATCACACTGAGGAAGCAATATAGCCAACAGCCAAGGAATACACGTTCCAGAAACAAGGGAACAAAACGGTGGAGGGAAAGGAAATCAGAGAAGTAATTCAAGCCAGTTTCCCACAATTGAGAGGGATAGATTTCAAACCGAAAGGGCTTACCAACAAAGACGACGAAAAAACTTTGAAACTGAATTAGTAAAAAGAATTCTTCATGTAGCCCCACTAGCCTAATATAGAATGTTAGGTAAGTGTTTTAAGAGATATAGCATCTCAGAACTTTTTATCTTTTTATCACGGTTTATCAAGAACTTTTTATCACGGTTCCCAGGAAGGTCGACCAGAACAAGGGAGTAAACCAAGGAAGAGGAGCAGTCCAGGAAACAAGGAAGAAGAGGCAGAGAGACTGGACGATGGCCGACTGAGAGCAGATAGCTGAGGTGGACAGCAGGGGCTTCTGGCCTCCTTTTTGTACTGCTCCATCCACACCTTGTGTCAAGGTCCCTCTGCCCACCCACTGTCTACTAACCTGCTGTCATTGGCAGATCCAGACCCTCCCTCCCCTGCTACCCAGTTAGTGGGGGCAAACCCAGACTCTGTGGGCCATCTAGGATGCCAGGGATGGGAGAGGTTGGGGGTATGGGGAATACAGGCCCTGCTCTCAGGTTTTACTGTGGTGGGAAGCAGCAGCTGGAGGGAACCTGAACTCAGCAGAGAGCTTGATGGAAACTCCAACAGCCTACTCCATGCCAGGGGAGAGCACAGAAGGTTATATGCTGCAAGAAACAGTCCACGGAATGGAGGAACTTGAACATGTTGGACTGAGAGGGCAACCTGAGCAGGGCCAGGAGTGGGATAGGTGAAATGTGGTGCTGCCCATGCAGAGGGCCCAGCCCCACCATGCCCAGTCTCACTCACCTGGAGGGAAGATGCCTCCAGCTTCCTCCTGCCACAGGACCCCAGGATGCTCCCTCCATGAAGGCCCCTCAAGTCCAGTTTCGCTGTGAGGAGAGGCCTGGTCCAGCACTATTTCACAGCCCTGAAACCACAGTGGTCACTGCTTATCTATGCCCAGCTAGGCTAAGGAAGGGACCCACCTGATCCCCACCCACTGAGGCTCCCCAGACAGGGAGGATGTCCTTTATGGGCTCACCTGGGTCTCTTCAGGCAGGAGAGTGGAGGTGGCCTCCTGGGGATTGGCTAGAGGCCCAGAATCCAGAAGCTCTGTAGAGGAAAGTTGGGGTCAGGTGGCCCAAGGGTGTCCCCACCCCACTGCCCTCTTCTGTGGTATGCCAGATGCTGGAATCCAGACTGGGGGCTGGAGTAAGGCAGAACCCCCTGGAAGGCCAGAGGAGAAGCTGTAGCAGGATGAGACAGGCTCAGGACACAGACCCCTGCATGAGCCCTGGGCAGGATGGCCAGCAAGGGTGGATGGGAGCACTGTACTAGGGTCCACACAGGAATGAGGGAGAGTGTGGGTGGCCAGCTCTGGTACAGACCTGGAAGAAGTAATACAGAGAGGGGCTGCCTCCCAGCATTCTGGGGTCCTCCCTCAGCCACTCCCACCTATATTCAAGCCTGCCACCTGCTCCCCAGAGACCAGCTATTGTCTCCCAATGGATCTCCTTAGGAGTGCACCCCACACTCCTCCCCACCCCAGAACCCCAACAGCCTACTTCATGTCAGGGGAGAGCACAGAAACATAGCTGTGGCAGTCAGATTTGGCATGAGAGGAGCAGTGATGTTCACCGGCTAGGCAGGATGGGGGTGGGGTGGGGGACACCAGTGCATATGAATAGTTCCAGCCAGCAGGTGACCTTTAGGCTGTTGAGGCCAGGCTCCCCTGGTCTACTCCATCAGGCTTTGGGCCATGCATGCCTTGCCCACCCTCACCTGGGTCATCTGTAACCGTGGGCTCCTCTTTCACCCGAAGGCCCAATGGTAACTCCTGCGTAGCTTCAGATGGTGTCCTAGGCCCATGTTCTGGAGTCAGAGGCTTGGTTTGAAGGAGGGGCTGGAAGTTGGAGGGCTCCATCTTCTCTGATAGCACCTCCTGACCCTGCACTTGGACTGTGACCTGGGAAGGTGCCCCTCACCATTAGGGACCCATGCGGAGAGTTTAGCTGGGCACAAGCAGTGGGTTCATAGGCATCTACCTCATCAAAGGACCCCAGGTCCTGACCTACTAGGCTCTCCAAGGACCTACATTCCCCCCAGCACTGAGTCAGGGGTAAAGGAACCACCTGCAGTTGCTCTCCTGTTGCTTACACTTGCGAATGCTCAGTGGTCTCCCTCTCTCCACCCTGCATCCCCTCCCATGTCCATGACTCCAGGCGATGTAATGATGGGCCAGTGAGGCTGGCCCTGGAAGCCTGTCTACTCCCATATAAGGTCTGCTGCAAGTGACTACTTCAAACCACAAGGAACAGGTGTTTGGTTGAGCATGGCACCTGCTAGGGGGAGGCACAGCTGGATACTGTTCCAGCCTGGATCCTGGCTCAGGGCCACCGACTCACCCATCTCCGGGGGCCTCCTGGCTCCTGGCGTAGCCCCTCGACTAGGGCAGCTGCCTCCTCAGGGCTGCCTGGCCGCTGGCCCTCCACACGGGCCTGGATCTCGGGGGGCAGTGCGCACAGGAACTGCTCCAGCACCAGCAGCTCCAGCATCTGCTCCTTGGAGTGCACCTCGGGCTGCAGCCACTGGCGGCACAGCTCCCGGAGTTGGGCCAGGGCCTCTTGGGGACCCAGTGCCTCCTCATAGTGGAAGTGTCGAAAACGCTGGCGGGCAGCCTCTGGGCCGGGATCCCATTGGGCAGCCTCACCCTCCTCCTCAGAGTCCTCCAGCTTCACCATGACAGGCCCCTCATCTTCCAGGGCTGTGTGACCTGGGGAGCCTAGTGCTGTGGGCCTCATTGAAAAGACTGGGCTGGGGCTCCGAGGATAATGTCTTTCCCTAGGAGAGGAAGAGGATGAGGCTACTGCGAGGACAAACAGTGGCAGTAAATGCTTATTGAGCGACTACTGTATGCTTCGTTGTTCCATCTTCAGACCTGTACTGAGTGGAAGGCAGAGAAGAAAACTGAGGCACAGAGAGGTGGTCACATGCCAGGCACCTGTGTCTCTGGTCTCTAGCTGGGATTTACACACAGTCTCTGGCATTCCCCTGTTCCAAACACAGGGTGCTTCTTAGGGATATGAAGGCATCCCCCACCCCCCCGGACCCAAATCCTGCCCTTCTACATGCACCACGCCATCCCTGATGTGCGGATCTCCCACTGCCAAGTAAATGACATCTGCAGTATTTACCACATGGCCATAAGAAACACTCCAGCCCCCCTCCCCCTACACCACCCAGAACACCACCCCATCATTGCACCACCCACTCTCCCATCTAGTCTCTCTGACCATTCTCTTCTCAGCTTGGTTCCACAGGGCAGCCTTTCCCACTCCCACACATGGGCAAGGTCAGCTCTGTGGCCACACTTCCAGGCAGCATCCCCCTCTCCCTCCATTCGGTCCCATCCTCTGAACCGGCCCAAGTTATCACACCATGTAATGCCCCACCATCACTTCAGCTCCCTGATTTAGGCAGGGTTAGGAGGTGATGGGATCTTAACAAGGGGCCCACAAAGGCCCCAAGATAACTGGACCAGATGCCTGCAAGCAAGATCGGAGATTCTGATCTTGCCTATTTGCTACATAACCTTGGCTAGTTTCTGTGAACCTCAGTTTCCCCATCTTTACCGTCCCCCGTAAGTGGGGCTGTCCCCCCTTCCCTCGCCATTGCTGCTCCCTTTGCAGCTGGGAGTAATGTGCGGGCTTTGTGAAGAAATCTGAGTTTATTAAGTGAGTAGATTCGACTTCCAGGGCCGCCGGATCCCGTGGGTCAAAACTCCGATCCTCAAGGTTCCAGGCCAGCCTGCAACCCTGGGAGAAAGCTGGACCATTTTTAAGCCAGCCAGCTACTGCGAAGCTTCCTGAACTACATTTACCAGAAATCCTGGAGGGCAACCTCCACTTTAGAGAGCCCCCCGCCTTCCCCCTCCCCCAGCTGGTTTAGTGCCACCATGGCAACCGGGGGGCGGGGCTCCGAGATCTCGTCGCCGTGGCAGTGCACTGCGATTGAAGAGCATCGCGCGATAGCGCCCGTATTGCCGGAGGAGGAGCTCCTAGACGTCTGCTCCGCGCTCCGGGTCCCGCCGGGCAGCCGGAATCCGAGAGTCGGCGGCCTCCGCCCGGGTCCCCGCCCCAGCCTCCCTCGGTGAGAGGTCCCCGCCCTCACCTCCACGCTCAGCGGGCCGCTCCGCGCTCGCAAGCATGCGCACTCGCCGACTTCCCCCTCCCCGGCCGGACTCTGTCTCCCAGAATGCTCCACGCATCAGCCCGAGCGCCACCTTGCCCTTCCCCCACGCTCGCCTCCTTTCCCACCCTCCTCCCGTTCCCCGGGGTAGCGTTGTTCGCAACGACCAGATCACACGCCCGGCCGCCTCTTCCCTCGCTCGCCCCCTCAGATCCAGGCGTCCATGCCCCGTCTACTTGCGCGAGCTTCCCAGGCGGCTACGGACAGCAGCGCCGTCTTCCCAACCGCGCATGCCCCCCATCACGTTTTCCTCAGTTCTTTACGGGCCTTCCGGGGATTAGCAGGGGTCTGCACCAATCACCGCTCTCACTAGGACGCCGTCAGCCCACGTCTCCATGGCAACCGTTCGCAGATAAAGGGGGCGCCTCCTGCAGCGCCCAGCCGGACTGTAAATGGCGAAGAGGCTCCGCCCGGTGCTTTCTGGGAAGTGTAGTCGGCTGGGCCTTTGTGCCCGGGAGCGGGGGCGGGGCTAGGTCGCGCCACGGTAACCGGGTGGGGACCCGGAGGGCATCTGAGAGGCGCAGGGGGGAGGTGAGGTGGGGTGGGGTGGGGCTGGGGGGTGCCGCCTGGGGTACAAAAGCCCCGCTAGAGGATGAGGAGAGGTGAGAAGAGGCGGACACAAAGACTTAGGGGCGGAAGAGGCCCAGATCCTGCAGGGCTCAGGAGCAGAGAGAGCTGGGAGGAGAGACAGAGAAAGGAACTGAACAGATCCAGGGAACAAGACCCTGAGAGGAAAGAAAGTCAACATAGAGGGGTTTCTACTCTCAGGGACCTAGAGAATGAGATAAGAAGCCAGAGGATCTGAGAGTCAGGCCGGGTGGACAGGATGTCCGAGAAGTTAGCAAGGCGGAGGGTCAGGAAGGGATCCATCTGGAAGGAGATGCACAAAGACAAGACATGCAGCTATCGAGATTCAAGGGACGGGTGTACACAGGCAAGGGGAGAGAAAGGACAGGCATTTGAGAGACAGCAAAGATGGGTGGAGAGTTTTCGAAGACCTAGAGAAGGGGGACAGCAAGGAGGGAGCTGGAGGTAGACTTTTAGGAAAACTCACTCGAACTGAACAGTAGTGTAAGGGCCTACTTAGCCAGAGCGATTCCATCTTGGATTAAATAGTCATTTTTTTGTTTATGCAGTAACATATGGTCGACCAGTCCCTGATAACAGAGCCCAAATACAAGCGCAGATCAGGTCAGGTGGAGATAACAGAGCCCGAATGCAAGGATGAGTCGGGCCAGGTGGAGACATCCAATCACTATCTCCCTAAAGAATGTGGGCCCTGCCTTTTGGGTGCCAATTCTGACCAAGGTGATAGGCTAGTTCAAATAGCTACTATAGGGTGAATTGTAATTCAATTGGCCACCCGTGTGTGACCTAGCATGACTATGCAACTTTCTCTGTGTGTTGCAATCTCATGGGCCACCTGTGTGTGGCCAGGCTCAACCATATGGCCTTTGCTCTATAAAGGTTAGTCTATGAGGCTCTGTAAGAGGCGGCCCCAACCAGCCGGTTTGATTCTGTGTGCTTGGCGTGAAATAAAGCTTTGCTTGACCTTCGCTTTGTATCAGTCTTGCTCCTTTGATCACATACCCTATCAGTAGAACAAAAAAAAGGTGATTGGGAGCCCTCTCTGTGTTTCCCAGCATTGTCTACCAAGCCAGCTTGGGCTCATCTCCCTAAATGAAGGAATTCTTTCCCTCTGAAGTACCTTTTGATCGGAATCCAGGCCGCACATGCTTGGGGTTAGAGTTGTATCACCCCCAGAGCACTGAGCGGGAACTGAGACACCCGGGCCCGCGACCCCAAGTGCTCCTTATTTCTTTCACCCTTCTTGTTCTTTCTTATCTTCCTGGAACCGCCTATGCTATCCTTCGAGTTCCCTCCTCCAGGTAAATAACTCTTCAATGCGCACTCACTGAGTTTATTTTTAAGTTGACAGTCTGAGCGGAATTAATTCTCCAGGATGGGGGACAAACCGAGAAAAGAGAAAGAGAAAAGAGAAAACAGAGCCGGAAATGGAAGTAGGGAGGATGTTGGAAAGACACAGAAAGTCGGGGGAGGGAAAAATTAGAGAGAAATGAGGCAGAAAGCCAGCTTCTGGCAGAGGCAGTTTCTGCCGCCCCTGCTGGCCTCTAGGCGCAGCACCCTCGTCGCTGAACTACATTTCCCGGGGGGCCTGGGAGCGTCTGGCGCAGGGTTCCGCACGCCGTCAGGGGCGGGCCTCACGCGGACTCCTCCAATCCCGGCAGTCCCAGGCAATCTTCCGCCTCCGCCGAGAACATGGAGGTTGAGCTCTGCTGCCTCAGGAAAGGGGCCCTGTAAGGCAGGACACAGGGAAGAGTCGCATCCCCAGCGGACCAGCTGAAGCAGCTGGCCCACGTCGCGGTCCGGAGGTGAGGGCGGTCAGCTGCGCGGGGGCCCGGGTTTCGGTGGCGGTGGCTGGGGCGTCGTTTCTCTTGGTCCTGAGCAGCGGGAAGAGAACGGAGAGAGGCCTTGGCACTTTCAGTCGGGGAAGAGCGCGGGGTGGGGGCCTATCGGCGCTTCCAGCAGCCCCGCGGCTCTATGGGAATTGTAGTCTCACGGGGAAAAACCTTGTCTCCCACCCAGACGTTGGGCCACGAGCCTCCCCGGGCGGCCCGCTTGGAGACTTCCTCTCGAGCGTGGGAGGGAGGGAACGGATGAATGAACATACGGGTGAATTAATTTATTGTATTTTATTTTTTTTAAGATTTTATTTATTTATTTGACAGAGAGAGAGAGAGAGATCACAAGGAGGTAGAGAGGCAGGCAGAGAGAGAGAGAGGAGGAAGCAGGCTCCCTGCTGAGCAGAGATCCCGATGCGGGGCTCGATCCTAGGACCCTGAGATCATGACCTGAGCCGAAGGCAGAGGCTTTAAACCACTGAGCCACCCAGGCGCCCCTGGGTGAATTAATTTAAAATCGTGGGTGAGCAGAGGAAGGCGTGGATTTTGGAGGAAGAACAGAGGCTCGTGAGGGGTTCAGAATTCGGGGACGGCTTCCAGACAAGAGGAGCCTTTCCCATGCCCACCCACCTTTCCCTGCCTCCCAGGCTCGAGGGTCCTGGGCCTGTGCCACCTTGTTTCAAGCATGCGCCGCCCACGAGTCCCTGAAAGAATTGATGTGATACCACAGGTGCCGTAGGCGCTGTGAAAACAAACCTTCACTCATTTGTTCATGCTTTCACAGGGCGCGCCTTCAAAAAAATTTTTTTTTCTTTAACTGATCAGTTTCTACTTTCACATGGCTCATAATGCAGTAGGGACAAGATGAAAACTGTCTCCCACCGCTGTACTTTAAAATTAATAATAACGTACTTGAAGTTTAATAATTTCATCATCAAGCGCCTACTGGATGCACTATTCCTGGGCCTGGGGACACAAGAGAGCTCAACCGACACAGTTCCTGCCCTCAGGCAGTATGTGACAGATGTATAATAAAATGTATGTAGGGAGGGCCTTTTTGATTAGGTTACCTTTGAGCAGAGATTTGTAGGAGAGGGAACAAGCCATGCAGATAACAGGGAAGAGCCTGAGCCCTGGGCTGAAGGAAACAGGAGCACCCTTAGTGTGCCCCAAGGATGTGGGTAGGAGCAAGCCACGTAAAGGAGGAGACTTTGAAGTGCTTGAGGAATCTGGTGAGGATTGTGGCTTTTACTCAGAACTGGGAGAGCTCTGAGCAGAGCGGGAACAGGATCTTAGTGCTTACTGAATCTTTGTGGCTGCTGTATGGAGAACCACCTTCCTCCTCTATTGCCAGATGTTCTCTGGGGTGGCACGAATTATATTGGTTTCCTCCTGCATTAGTTTTCTATGACTGCTGTAACCTATTACTGAAAAAGGAGTGGTTTAAAATAACACAAATGTGGGGCGCCTAGGTGGCTCAGTGGGTTAAAGCCTCTGCCTTCGGCTCCGGTCATGATCCCGGGGTCCTGGGATCAAGCCCTGCATCAGGCTCTCTGCTCAGCAGGGAACCTGCTACCCCCCCACCCCCCGTCTGCCTCTCTGCCTACTTGTGATCTCTGTCTGTCAAACAAATAAATAAAATAATAATAATAATAATAATAATTAATAATAAAATAACACAAATGTATTATCTTGGAGTCTTGGAGGTCAGAAATCTGAGTTGGGTCTCAGTGGGCTAAAATCAAGTTATCAGCAGGGCTGTTTCCTTCTGGAGGCTCTAGGCTTTAGTGGTCACATTGCTGCTTTCGGAGTGAAATCTTTTGCCTCCTCTTGCAAGGAGCCCTCTGATTACATTTAGGGTCCATTTGAATAAGCCAGGATAATCACCTGATCTCAAGATTATTGACTTAATCACACTCACAGTGTCCCTTTTGCCATATTAGGTAATTTTTAAATAAGATTTTATTTATTTATTTGGCAGAGTTCACGGGGGTGGGGAGCAGGCGCCCTGCTGAGCAGAGAGCCTGATGTGGGGCTCGATCCCATAAGAGATCGTGACCTGAGCTGAAGGCAGAGGCTTAACCCACTGTGCCACCCAGGTGCCCCACCATATTAGGTAATTTATTCATAGGGATTAGTACTTGGACATCTTAAGGAGCCATTACTCAGCCCCACACTGATGTTTGATGTCTTTGGGTGGGAAGCATGGAAATGGGTAGCTTGTTTGCTCATTGGTGTGTGGGAAGTGGGTTTCTAGACTGTCTTGGGGTTGCAGGAGGTTTGCTGGGGGAAGAGAGCGAAGTCTCCTAGCAGACTTTTCTTGATCTCATAAGCTAAAACTAAGTGACAGGCTCCTCTAGATGCAAAGAATGGTTGGAATTGAGTGTGCAGTGTTTTCAGCAGTAGGAAAAGAAGGGATTGGGCACGCCTCTGAGGCAGTGGTCAGCAGGGCTGGGTGCTCTTTATCAGAACATGGGAGGGCCAGCTGGTGGTTGGCACTTCCATGTACTTACACATTAATGCCCATGTGTCCTTGTCTTACAGGCAGAGGGAGGTATGGCAGGAGAGGCCAAGGGGCTGCCATCGTGGGCACACTGGTAGCTACTGTGGATAGGCACTGGGGAGAGACCTCATCAAGGTGCATGGCCCAGGGAGGCAGAATGAAGACAACTCCCCAGCTGCAAGTGTCGGGGAAGGCATCCCTCAGTGGGATTGGCCTCCGCCACACTGCCAAGCGGGACCGAAAGTCCATCACCTTGCATGTGAAATTAGAGGTGCTTCGGAGGTTTGAGGAAGGCGAGAAGCTGACTCAGATTGCCCGGGCCCTAGGGCTGGCCACTTCTACTGTTGCTTCCATCCGTGTCAACAAGGACAAGATCCGGGCCAATTCTCAGGCAGCCACACCGGTAAGTGCCACACAGCTGACCCGCTGCCGGGGTGTGGTGATGGGCCATATGGAACGCTTGCTGAGCCTCTGGATCGAGGAGCAAAAGCGGCAGAACCTGCCCGTCAGCACGCTGCTCATCCAGGACAAGGCCCGACGGCTCTTCGTGCAGCTGCAGCACGAGCAGGGTAATGGCACTCGGGCTGAGACCTTTGGGGCCAGTAATGGCTGGTTTGCCCGATTCAAGGCTCGCCACAATGTGCTTTTGACAGATGAACCATCTGTGGCTGACACCCAGGCTGCTGCCCACTACCCCCCAGTGCTGCGCACCATTCTAGAGGACGGCTGCTACTCACCACGCCAGGTGTTCAATGTGGATGAGACTGGCCTGTTCTGGAAGCGGCTCCCAGAGCGCATGCTGTTGGCCCTGGAAGGGGCAGCTGGACCTGGCCTCAAGACCTCTAAGGACCACCTGACCCTGCTGCTTGGTGGCAATGCAGCTGGTGATTTCAAGCTGAAGCCGCTGCTGGTGTACCCCTCGGAGAACCCGCGTGCCCTCAAGGGTTGCTCCAAGGCCAGCCTTCCGGTGGTCTGGCGCTCTAACCGCAACGACTGGCTGACACCCAGCATCTTCCAGGAGTGGTTTACTAGCTGCTTCTGCCCTGCTGTGGAGAGCTACTGTGCCAGCCACGGCCTCCCACACCGTGCCCTGTTGGTCTTAGACGGTGCACCCTGCCACTCTGCTCACCTGGGTGGCCTCTCACCCCATGTGCGAGTTGAGTTCCTGCCCAAGAACACATCAGCCCTGATTCAGCCCATGAACCAGGGTATCATTGCCACATTCAAGGCGTATTACCTGCGCTGTATGCTTAGCCAGCTGGTCCAGGAGACGTCTGGTGAAGACCGACCCTCTGTGCGGGAGTTCTGGCGCAGCTATACTGTTGTGACTGCTGTGGACAATATAGCCAGAGCCTGGGCAGAGTTGCAGCCCGCCATCATGAACAGTGCCTGGAGGAAGCTCTGGCCTGAGTGTGTGCCTCCTGGCACTCCCGAGCCGGACACTGTGCCTCAGCTCCGCCACAGCATTGTCGCACTAGCCAGTCACGTGGGCCTTGGAGATGCAGCCGAGGCCGATGTTGCCAACCTCTTGCAGGCCCATGGGGAGCCCCCACCCCACGGCCTCCCCCAGGATGCAGAAGATGGTGGGGACATTTGTGACTCTGGGTTGCCGTGGCAGGAAGGGAAAGGCTCGGTGTCCGGAAAACGAGAGCCGGATTTCACAGATGCTGTAGTGGGTGTGGGGACTGAAGATGCTGATGTGGGTGCTCTGAGCCCTGAGCACCTGGGCCAGGCCCTGTCACACTTTGCTGCTGGTTTACGGGTCCTCCTGGAGAATGATCCAAACCGGGAACGCAGCCTCCGGGTGTCTCGGGATGTCCACTGTGCCCTTGCCCACCTCCGGGAGCTGCACCGGGAAAAGAGGCGACAGGCCCGGGCAGGTGCATCCTCAGGAGGGCCCATGGCAGTGGCACCAAGGGATTTGGCAGGAAACCTGCCCTTGCCCCAAGTGGGGCCCACAGAGGGTGAGGAGGTGGCTAAGGGCACGGGTCATGAAGGTCAGACCTCTGGTTGTCCTGTATGATTTGGGGCTTGGGCTTAACCTCACATGATCTCTAACGATGTTTTGTTTCTGGAGGTCAGATACTGCTACTTCTTCCCCAGGGTTCTCATAGCTCATGTTGTATTCTTTGTGTAGTGACACCAGGCTTGGGGAATAGAAGGGTGGTGTTCTCCGATTGGCAGATGAACTGCAGGGCCCAGGGAGTGCCCACTCATGACAGTGACACATCCTGTAGTATGGTCTTTGCCCAGCACAGCCTGCCAGGGCAGCTGTCTCAGGGGCCAGAACTGAGACCTGCCTCTCCCATTTTCCAAACCTGACTTCTTACTCCCTACACCATTGTGACCCTTCCTTGCCAACTGTAGGTGAGGGTTTCCTGCTCTCAACATGACCTTTTATCACTTTACATGCCATCTTCATGGCCTCTGTTGACCTGGGTCTCTGGTACCTTCCCTGTGCCTGAGCACTTTGATTCTCTGTGGATTTTGATACTGGGGATCACTTCCTTTTTTGGAGATGTTTTCCTCTCTGAGTTTCTGTGCTATAGTTGTCTTGGCTTCCCTCTAGCCTTTGAGGTTGAGCCTTTTGTGACTGTGATGGTCTTCCAGTTCTGGTGCTCTTTGGAAAATACTATCCACTCCTCTAAGAGCTGGATCACCTCAGGGTTAATTCCTAGTGCACTGGCTGCAGCCTAGCCTCTCCCTGAGCCAGCTCCTCTCCCTGAGCTAGACCCTGAGCTCTGATTCTGATGGATATGCTCCCACCCCAGTCGTATTATCTCCCCTAATTCGTTTGCTTTCCTGTTCCCCAAACTGTAACACCCGGCATCATGGGGTGTCCACCTGACTGCAGAAATACCACTTGGGTCACCAAAACAGATAGTCAGCAAGGGAAGGTCTTGTGCTCCAGCTGGATGAGCCACAGGTGATGTGATAGGGATGTCTGGGCTTTTGGACTCCTTTCAACACAAGTGCACGTGTACGTTAACACATGCACATACACACACACAGGCACGCCAAGAAATAAAAATGGGAGAAAGGATTCCCATTACTTCTGTCCCAGCTAACACCGCACTGATGGGCTTGCTGTCAACATATCCCTGGGGCTGGGGGCCAGGGAGGGGTTGAAGGGCCAGCCTCACTGGGAGAAAGGTCAGATGAGGCCCCGTGCTTGCTTTCCTGGGGAGAATGGTAAGAGGGATGACAGAGAAGGGAAGCTTTTCTTAGGATTCTGGTGACAGACTGGATACATTGCACAATTTATGAGCACTTGTAACGCGCCAGGTGTTGAGACCAGGGTGAGTGAGACTGACTTCAGGAGCTGCTAGTCCAGAGGTTGTTACATTCTACATAACAAGGCTGTGACAGGCGACTCGAGGAAGGACCCCCACCTAGCCAGGCACGGAGGACTGGACGTAATAGGCAGGCTTTCTGGGGAGTGTTGTCTCAGCCTTTAGGGACCTTGCTGACAGGAAACCCGTCATTTCACAATGCCACACGGTACAGAGGGGCTGGACAGAGGCAGCCCGGTGCGGTGGGGTGGCTGGTGAGAGCCCAAGGACCCGGAGGAAGGAGTATCCTAGTGGAGGCTGAAGGGAGCAGGCGACCAGGTGGGAGTCCGAGGCGGAATCTGGCTGGGCGGAAGGGTAGTTAGGGGACCGACGCTGGAGGTCGTCCCGGCATGGTGATGGGCGGTCTGGCTCCAGGGCTTGTTTCTCCAGGCGCCTGGCCCGGGAGCCCCGGGTACCTTCAACCAGCAACCGTTCCCAGGCCCCTGAGCGTTTCAGGGAGGCCCTGGTGGTGGATCATGGCAGCCTGGCGTCTCCTGGGAGATGCCGGGTCTCAGCCCGACAGGCTGGTTCTCTGGCTCGCTGGGGACATTGGCCAGAGAATCTCGCCACAGAGACGGTCTTGGACGCTTTTCACCTCAGGCATGGACCGTTAAAATAGACACGCAGAAGCAACAGGGATACCGTTCCCTCCCCTCCGCGTGCTCGTGTGGGCGTCGAGTGGGGGCGGGAGTCGCTCGCGGGCGGAAGGGCACAGGCGCCGGAAGCAGTCATTGGCGGGTCTGGGCACTCCGGTTCCCAGCCGGGGTGGTCGGTCGCGGTCCTTGCGCGGCCGGCCGGCCCGTGTGGCTCCGGGTAGGTGGTGAGTCGGGGGCAAGGCAGCCAGAAGCGCTAAAACGCCTGGGGGCAGGGCGTGCAGCCTGGCGGAGGGCGGCGGGGGCGTTGGCGCCGAGGAGCGTCGCCCATTTCTAGTCCTGAGGAAGGGCGGCTCGGAGGCCTCCCGCGGGCGGGTCCCGACCCGGAAGTGGTTCTGGGCTGGGTTCGGGCTGCGGGTGGGCGCCGCTGCCCCCCCAGAGCCTAGTTTCCCGGGCTTCCTGCCCGCGGTGCCCCTTCAGAGGCACGTCCGCGCGGCTCCTTCAGAGTTGGGCTCCCTTCCTGCGGGGAGTCTCAGGATGGCCGAAGCCCGGGCTTGTGTCTCCTCTCTGCTGCCACTCCGCGTGCCTCCGCCCAGAACGAGCGCTCCGGCCTTGGGGAGGAGACGCTAACCCCGCGCGGCGGGAGGCGCGGGCCCGAGCTCCTCCAGGCGCCCCCGTGTTGTGCCGAGTGTTGTGCTGTAGCCATTACCTCCTCGGGGCGCCTGGCGGTGCGGAGCCCGGTGGTGGGCCGTTGGGTGTGTGTGGGGACCGGAGCTGCCCGGGCCTGGGGAGCCCCGACCGCCCCTTCTGAGAACAGGCGCTGGCGGTGGAAACAGCTTGTTCGTTCGTGAAGGCCGTGGTAGCAAGTAGCCGTTCCCGAAGGTGGTCAGACCTTAGGTGGAGATTCTTGAGGAAAAAGCGGACGTCTTCCAGTTGTTGCCCCACATCCCGCCCACTGGGAGCTTGTGTTTCAGGACCCATTTCTGAACATTTGTAACTGTAGCTTCTCCCTGCGCGCGCGCACACATGCTCCGCAGAGGTTGTTCTAAAATATTAACAGCGGGATCGTGTTGTGTGAGGACTGCCGCTGATTACTTCCTGTTTCCCACTGCCATTTTTTGATCTTGGCTAATTGGTTTGGTGAAGTCTTAGAATATCCGTGAGGTTCGGTGGGGTGAGGTCCGGAGCCAATGACCCAGAAATAATTCTTGAGATGTTTTTGGTGCAAAATGGTGGTTTGTTTTTTATTTTTTTAAAAAGATTTTTAAGTTTGGTTTTTTTTTTTTTTTTTTTTTTTTTTCCATTTGACAGAGATCACAGGCAGGCAGGGAGGCAGGCAGAGAGAGAGGAAGGGAAGCAGGCTCCCTGCTGAGCAGAGAGCCCAATGCAGGGCTCGATCTCAGGACCCTGAGATCATGACCTGAGCCACCCAGGCGCCCCAAAATGGTGGTTTATTAAGGCACGGGGATAGAACCCATGGGCAGAAAGAGCTGCTGCCCAGGGGTTGTGAGGAGCGGTCCATTATATGCTTGCAAGTTGGGAGGGGATCAGGGATGGCATAAGTCTCTGAGGAATTTTGGAGGCAAGGGTTCCAGGACCTTGAGGGGCTAGTTATTGTTGGGGAAAAGGTGATTCATTACCAGTAATAAAACCTTTTTTGTGAGACCTTTAGATGTGTATCAGTGGGCCATATGTTTGGGAATGATTGTCAACATGTATCTTGGAGGGTTTAGAAATAAAGTTTCCAAAGGAATTGTTAAAGTAGACTTATAGGGTCCTGGTTGAGGGTAGGGGGCTCATCAGGCTATGACTGCCCTTTGCCCTTAGCAAAGTGTTAAGGTGGAGGCAGTTGAGTCCCTAGAGGAATGTCACTGTGCCTGTTTCAAGGGCTTGTGAGTGGGTAAGGACATTTAATAATTTTTCTTCTGCCCTTGTTTCCCACATCAGGTTTGAGCTGAGCCTCTCAGGCTTGGTAGGAGTCTGCCATGGGGGAAAGAAGGCCTTCCAGTGTAGGAGTCAGCTGTTGCTATCCCTGTGCCTGGCCCAGGCTGGCTGCAGTACAGCTGACCCTAGCTTCCATCTGCCCTTCCATTCTGTCCCCCCACCCCCCGCCATCACTCTTGCTGGTGCCTGGCAGATGGCATCCTTCACTTGCTCAGACTCTTCCTGGGCACTCACCCTCTGCTAGTTCCCGCTTGTACTTCTGCTTGGGTGCTGGTGGGGTTCTCTCAGGTCACTGAAACGTGGCATGTCCATGCCCCCTAACCTCAGGAGCAACTCTCCTACCTTTATCCGGTCTAGCTTGAGCTAGTGTACACTTGTGCGGGGTGGGCTCACTCTTCTCTTAACCAAGTTCCCAGTGCCAGATGTTCTCTTGAGGGCAGAGATGGGGAGGGGGGTGGAGGCTGGATGTATCCCCTACCAGGTTGACAGCCAGCCAGACTTGGGGACAGTTTCCTCAGTAGCAAGTGGCCTCGAGGGTGTGTGTGTGTGGGGGGATCCCCAAGACACCCTTAGACTTAATGATTTGCTGGAAGGAGTCCCAGGTTTCAGCAAGGTCATTATACTCATAATGGTTGGTTATAGTGAAAAGATACATATTAAAATCAGTGGTGGGAAAAGGTGTATAGTCTGGGAGACAGTGGCTGTGAGCTTCCATGTCCTTTGCCAGGGTAGTTGTGTGGACACTGCTTAATTCTCACAGCAATGCTGTGTGACAGTGCAGCAACCAGGGACGCTTACCTGAGCTCTGGTGGGCAGGGTTTTTACTGAGGGTCAGTCACATAAGCATGGAGCATACGGACTTCAGTTACTCAAATCTCAACTGCTCCCAGAGGTCAAATTGGTACTGTGTGACCCGTGGTCACCACTGTAAGTCACACTGTTAGCATGAACTATCTGCTTTGGCCCAAGTCCTGAGGTAAACAAAGACACCTTTAACATGCAGAATATCCAAGGGCTTAGAGGTTACCTCTTAGGAGCAGGTCAAGCACCAAACTTTTGGAACGTGTAGGGTTTAGACAACGCAGGCCTGCTGAGTCAACCCTTTACTGAATTTCTTACTGCAGCCAAAGGAAGGTTCTCATGGTCCTTTCCTTGGCATTTCAGTGACTTGGGTTTCAGGGGCTCTAGGTGTACTCCTGAGGTATGTGGGTGTATGTGGACCAAAGTGGGAGCTGCATGCGGGCCAGGGCAAGGTGTTCTGTGGGATTTGGAGGGCAGGCCCTTGTCTCATCCAGCCCGGAAGCCCAGACCAGCACCGGGGTACATGCTAACTGCCTGACTGATTGATTGGCCTGGGTGCCTGACCCCTGTGCCCTTAGGTGGTGCTGAGGACACTAACCTTCTCCTCTCCCCTCAGCATGGGCTGAGGCCCGTCCTGAGGACCAGTGGTCTGGAGACCTGGCAGAGCCGGCCAAACCCTTCACGGATGGAGCTCAGGTGAGCTATGAGTCCTCCAAAGTCATAGATGCCACATCTTGCCTACCACTCCCCCCCTGTGTCACAGGGTACTTGAATGTTTGTGGTCCCAGCGGGTAACGCCGGGACTTCCCCAGGAGGAGAGAGGGAATTGCTTATAGACGTTGACTGAGCGTACATGGGAAGAGGGCAGATCAGGCAAGGAGCATGTGTGGCCAGGGTCTCCTATCAGGTGAGTGGGCCACACCCTGGCCCTCTCTGCCCCTTGACTGTCATTCTTGGAGCTTCCTGAGAGACTGCAAAGCATGGGAACTCTTACAGTTTCCCTGTCCAGATCTACCCAAGGTGGGCTCAGCAGATGTTTTCTGTGAGTTAGTGGCATGTTGGGAACTCTTGGGGGAATAGCCAGGATGCTTCACTGTGAAATTCCAATGAGAAAGTAGTACAAAGTTGAGCTCCGAGAAATGCTTTTTCTAAAACAGGGTGCATGGTCTGCCTTGTAGAAGGATATGCAAGAATTAGGTTTCCCTGGCTGCCTCTGGGACCCTCCCCTGGTTCTGCAGTGGCCTGTCTGGGTTATTTCACCATGTCCATGTACGGTTGACCCTTAAATAGCATGGGCTTGAACTTTATGAGTCCACTTGTATATGGATTTTTTTTTTTGAAGATTTTATTTATTTGAGAGAGAGAGTGAGAGAGAGAGAGAGCACCCAAGCAGGGTCAGAGGCAAAGGGAGAAGCAGACTCCCCAGTGAGCGGGGATCCCGATGTGGGACTCCATCCCAGGACCCTGGGAACATCACCTGAGATGAAGGCAGACACTTAACTGACAGCCACCCAGGCACCCTGGATTTTTTTTTTTTCCTTTTAAAAGATTATTTATTTGAGAGAGAGTGAGAGCGAGAGCAAGAGAGAATGAGTGGGGTGAGCGGCAGGAGGAGAAGCAGGCTCTCCACTGAGTAGGGAACCCAGTGCGGGGCTTGTTCCCAGGATCGAGCCACCCAGGCACCCCTGTAATGTATTTTCTTTGTGCTTTTAATAACATTTTATTTTTTCTAGGTTTATTGTAAAAATACAGTGTATAATACATATAACATACAAAGTATGTGTTAATTGACTGCTTATGTTATCAGTAAGCCTTCCAGTCATCAGTAAGTTATTAGTAGTCAAGAGTTATAAGTGGATCTTGAACTGCTTGGTTGGGGGGGTGGTGTCCCCTAATTCCATGTTGTTCAAAGGTCAGCTGTTACCTCTAGCAAAACAGACAAAACAACACAAAGAAAAAACTGAGTTGATATCCTTAATTACATTGTTCAGGGTCTTGCAAGCTCAGAGCCATGAAAATGTGTTTTCTTGTAACTGAACAGCTTCTTGTTTTCCTCCTTGGCTGCCTGAAAACTCAGAGTTCAGTTTTATGAGCAATTGTTATAAATTCCTGTACCCAGCCACAGTGTTTTGAGGCACTTCACCCCCAACCTGTGAATTTTTGATTTCTGCCTTTGGTCTGACATCAGCTTGTGTATTGTGTTACGTTGGATCCCTCAGGAGGGGGGCTGGAGTAGGTGACTTCAAACAGTATGGCCATTGGGAGGCATTGTTGTAAAGTGGGAGTAGGTTTTCAGAGGCTTGCTGCATTACTGAGGCTGAAGTTCATTTAGTCCACCGGGGCCGGAATTCATCCAGTGGGAGGTGAGTTCTGTGGCCAAATGAGGGAGATTTATCAATGGTCTTTAACAGGTTTCATCCAAGCTTGTCTCATTTCCCACCAGTCAATGTCTTTCCCCCATTTTATAGCAGGTCAGAGCCAGGGCAGCAGTGGCATTGAAATCGGCAGGCCCAGGGCGGGAACATGCATATTCTTTAGCTGTGTCTGGAGAGGGTGATGCAGATGGAGCCTCCTCCACTGGTCGAGGTGGTCTTCAGACCACCCTGGCCAGAAGATCGCTCTGGAGAGGCCACCCAGTGCAACCCTGTGCCAAGGCACCAAGTGGGACTGCAAGGCTGTCAACCCTCAGGTGAAGCTTGAGGTGTTGGCAGTGCTTTGAAGCCAGAGAGAAGCTTAGTAGAATCAGGGAGGTGCTGGGACTGTCCACCTCCACTGTGGCTACCATTCTTGACAGCAAGGAGAAGATCCGAGTGAGTGTCTGGGCGGCCAACCTGCAGGTGGCCACCAGATTGACACGCAGCTGCAGTCTGGTGATGGAGAACGTGGAGTGGGTGGCGAGGCTGTGGGCACGACTGTGGCAGTTGTGCGCAGGTAGCTCGCCCTGCTGCGGAGAGTGATCTGGGAGGGTGGCTGCACACCATGGCTGTCGTTCAGCATGGGTGAGACTGGACTTTTCTGGAAGCAACTGCCTGCCAGGATGCTTCTTTCTCTGGAGGAGAAGTCAGCCGGGATGCAAAGCTGCCCGAGCTCTGATGCTGCTGCTTGGTGGCAACGTGGCTGGTGACTTCCAGCCGAAGCCGCTGCTGGTGTACCCCTCAGAGAACCTGCATGCCCTCAAGGGCTGCCCCAAGCCCAACCTGCCTGTGGCATGGCACTCACACAAGGGAGTCTGGGTGACCACGAGCCTCTCCCAAGAGTGGTTTGTGCACTTCTGGCCAGCCATGGAGAGGTACTGTGCCCCGTACGGCCTCCTGTACAAAGCACTGCTCATCATGGACAGTGCCCCTGGCCACCCTGGGAGCCTGGATGACCTTTCAGAACACGTGCGTGTGGGGTACATGCCCAAGAAAACCAGGGCCCTTGTCCGGCCCATGAACC